CCCAATGGGCACAGCCTTGCCCCTGGAAGGGACACGGCACTTGTCCCCCAGCCTGCTGGGCACTAGCAGCACTGCTTCCCAGAAGCAGCTCCTTCCCTGCTTATCAGCACACCAGCCCATACTGGATTTTAAAGCCAGCTCTAGGTCCCTCCTAACAAATGTGCATGCAGGTGACACTGCTAGCACAGCAGTTCCCCTATGGATCAAACCAAAGATTCATCCTCCAGGACCATTGTTCCACACCTTGCACCCATCCTGCATTTTCACATGGAGACTGTAACATGCAGCCCTGCCCCAACTGCATCACCCATCTTTGCTGGAGCTAAATCCTCCATGTGGGAAAACCCCAGCTGGGATCCACACCCTTCTTCCTTCCACCAGCTCTGAACCCAACCAGGTTCAAAGCGGAGCAATGCAAAACTTCTCCCCACACTGAGCAGGTCTGCCCTCACCCTGCAGAGCTCAGGGCACCAACTGCCCAGTAAAGTTTCCTGAAAGTCTGCAGTCTGATCTGGAGAACAGCACAGCGTGCACAAGCTGTGTGACCCGACAGTGGGCATAGGAAAATCTCTGGAGAAAAGAGCTCATCTATAGCATGTCTCTCATTGGAAACTTCTGTGGGAGGTTATTCTTCCCTTCCTCTCATGTTTGCAAAGCCACACTCATAGTTGTTTTGTGCTTAATGAGCCACTTCAGAGGGCTTTTTCCTTGTGAAAGTGGGCAATGGTTCTGCCTGCCCATGAGGAGCAAGCTGGATTCAGCTTTGAGGAAATATAAAAAATTCAGAGAAAGAGACAGGTGTGCTTCACCACCCCTAGAAAAAGGAATATGTGCCAAAAATGGCAGTAAAAGTGCCCCTGTCAGGAGCCCTTAAAATCGAGCTTTTTGTTTTAAAACTAGCCAGAGATGCACAGCACCCATGTCCCCTAAGAGACCCGAGGGCTGTCAAACCATTTCTCTGAGCAAGCAGAAGTGGACGGTCGTGGTGGTTTCCTAAGCATGCTCTGGGTGCAGCGTTTCTCCTTACCCGGCATCTG